ACTTGAAAAACTCTGATACAGAGACGGCTGATGGACTGCGGTGCTCTTTGTCTTAACATCAGCAACCTTTGTTTGGCTAGCCCTGTCTTTCTGGAACTCTTCAAACAGTTCTCTGTGGTTGAAGATGATGGTGGAGATTAGTCGTGTTTCCTCTGGTGGTTGCCACGAGTGTTCGGCAGGTTTTGCAGAGCACCTGTGTTTGTCGTCTTTATCAAATCCAAAGTACCTCCAGATAAGCGAGGTACTATTTTTTTTTTTTAGGCACAAGTTCATAGTCAGCAGCGTTCTCGTCATGCGTCTCGCTCTCAGCCTTTACAACTCTGACTCGTTGCTGCAGCGTTGTTCGCTCCCCACCTGCATAGGAGGCGGGCCTCTAATCCATTTGATTGGTTAATGCCATGAAGGGCTCTATTCGACTGGTCAAATGTGTAAAGGGGTTTCATTGATTGGTAAATTCTTAAAGCACGTGTGTAAACATTTTAAGGTACCCAATTATCGCAGTTTACGTCGTCTTTTGCAATGGGCCCATCGCGCAGGCTGATATCGCGATGACAATAAATTTTCGATTTATTGCGCAGGCCTCTTGACTGTTTACACATAATAAAACAACCTGACAGGTTGAGGAGAACTATGATAGCATGTGGAGTCTGCACATTGTCCCCGTGCCTGTGTGGGTTTGGGTACTCGGGCTTCCTCCCACAGTCCAAAGACGTGCTTGTTAGGTTTACTGGTGATTCTAAATCAGCCATCAATGAGGCAGATGTTTGAATGTTTGAACTGCAGAGCATAAAGCAGTTCATAAACACGTGGTTAAAATGTGATTTAGAGTCTAAAGAGCTTTGACCGGTCAGTAGGATGAAAAAATGCTACATGAATGCGACTGCGTGACATTATCTGTCTCCTTGTGATAAAGGCTAACTCATTCACAAGTAAACATGAACGAGGTCGACCCTGATTCGCTGCGTTCTAGCTCATCCACAGTGCTTTGCTTTCATTACATGCTGAGAGAGAGAGAGAAACTCTCTGCTGTGTCTCTCGTTTTCACTTCCATGTCAAGAAACAAACATCAACATAGCAAATGTTTGTGCTAAGTGCTACGACCAGCACGTGTTTACAGATGCTGGATCTGGGTCTGTGAGATCGGCTCTGCCGCCGCCAACTTGCTGTTCTGACCAGCTTCTATAGAGAAAACCAAACTTTAGTGCTCGTTTTCAATCTTCAGATAAAAACTAAGCAACAAGAAATACCTTTACACACGTGAGAGGCTGCTTTATAATTTATTGTTTAAAAAAGTTTTTCTTTTATTCCCGCAGTCTTAAACAACGCAACAGATTTCTGGGGAATGTACTTTTCTTGATTTTAATTTCAGACTTCTTAATAACCCACTGGAGCTTCGGTGCATACGGGAGGATTAAATTAAACATACTGTACCTGGTCTATGCTGTTCATTATTTTCCTGCATGCTAGCTCCCAACATGAGCCACGAAACGAAAGAGAATCCTCTCACACTTAAATGGGAACTCTTTTTGCCTCAATTATATTTCACTACGAACAAAAACTGTCAAAAAGAAATGACCTCGCTGTACTAAAGTCTGACGAGTAGTTAGACACAAATCCAAACCGTTTTTCACTCGTCACCTTTTCATTGTGCTTCAAGAGCCTTCTGATGCACTAAATCTACACGGACAGGCAAATCAGCACATGCACAGCAGGATGAAGCTGATGACTCTAATCATTATTTCACATTAAGCATGCCAGCACAGATCACTGCATGTTAAGCCAGCACAGCATGGTGTGATTGTACTGGGCAGAGTCCAGGTGACGACAGCAGGGCGTTGCTAAAAAAGACTCCTCGTTGCTCACATAGGTCGCACAACCCTGGGTAAATAAATGCACGCATGCTTGTTTGACCATAAAGGTGCATTTAACAAAAACAGTGGGCATTACATGAAAAGGTGTGCACTGTAAGCAGGCTTCGTGAGAGTAGTGTGCCAACTGAGGCTGAAACCTTAGAAGAAAGCGTATTTGCCCCCTTCCTGCCACATTTGGCAGCAAGAACTGCAATTAAGCATTTGTGATAACTGGCAGCAAATCAGTCAGTGCGTTCTTGAACTACTTTTGGTAGGTCGGCCACTCCTGGGAAAGGTGCCCCACTGTGCCCCAAGTTTTCTCCTTTTGTGGATAATTAACGGCTACTAATGAACAAGAAGCGGAGCTGGAGCCCAACACAGGATGTGAGACTCAGTGAAGATACACCTAATGACACTGCTCTGTTATTTGTTTTTAAATAGAGTTACTTGGCAAAGATGATCGCTACAGAAATAGAAATCATACACACGCATACATTTGCATGCACATACAATATAAATCTGTGGGAAACCTTTTCCATCCAGTCCCAATCGATTGCAGCTAGAGGCAATGAATGATTACCATCCAAAAAGTTATGCTGTTAGAAATATGTGCTGCACATAAATGGTCTTTAAGAAATCAGTTTGAACTGATTAGAGCTTTGTGACATGTTATGTTTTCCTACTGGAAGGAGCCATTAGAACATGGGTGCAGATGGACATGGTCAGGAACAATACTCAGGTAGGGTGAGATTGTACCAGCTGTGCACTAGATTAATGCTAAAGGAGGCCAAACTCAAGCAGGTCATCTTGATAGTGTCTTAAGTCAAAATGCATTGACTTGCTGCCGTGCTATTGGCTAATTAGATATGTGCATTTGTGTCATATCTCTGCAAGCTTCCTGTAACAGTCACTACAGGAAGGGAATCGGAAAGGAAGTGTGTATTAGAAAGGAACATCTCTACCTAGCATGTTGAAGATGAAGTCCTTGGCGGTGTGGACCTCTAAGGCGGTCTGGTCTCCAAACTCCCCCTGCTCCAGCAGTACCAGTTCAGATACCTGTGCCGACAGCTGCTCCAGGGTTGCCCCTGAGCGGAAGTCCACCTCAGAAAGTTTCTTGGCGGGTGCTGGGGAGCGTGGAGTCACCGCGCTCATCAGGGACTCCATCTCTACAACCCTGTTAAATGAGGACAGAGAAAGTGAAACTGTTGACATTATTTTTAACCTCTGTGCTCAAATGTTGGAAAACCACAATAGCCCTACTGTGATGACTAAAGCAGTGGAAACAGCTCCCCTGAGGGACGAATTATACATTCACAGTGCCAGTAATAACTATTTGTTTTAAACTTTACCATTTAGCACCCTAGAACAAACCACAGGGCGATCTGTTTACAGGATGTGCCTGACACCAGAGCTTGTGCTCAGACAGTTTTAGTGTTGCAGTCATGTTTTCACCCATATAATATCCACCTTGTTTTCACCAGCCTTGTGTGAATCATGGGACTCTGAGAGGCACTTTCACAGAGAAGCATATGACATCAAAGAACAACCGCCAATGCATCATAACAGCTGAAAAGGTGACACTGATGTTTTGAACAAAACTGCTAAAAGTGGAAATTCCAGCCTTTTTTTAATCATATGAGCACCAATAATTCTTTTTTACCAACACCTATCATGTTTCAATCGAGCTTCTTTCACTTTAAACGTCATGAAATTACTTTAACACAATTAACAATAAGCTCTTTAGGCAAGTTGGTAAACTTAGCATTCAAGGTTTCAGTGACCATTACATTTAGCTATTTACATAGCTATTATTTTTTTAGCATTTACAGCCATTTACACTGTTGCAAGAATTTTTACTGTTTGGAGGACATATGCTAGAGACAAGATTTAGGAAAATCAGAGCAGATGTTACATTATGAACACACAACCTTTTGAAAGCAGTAGACTTGCAGTCTCGTAGCCATCCAAAGTTGCAATAAACATGACCAACCAAAGCCTCATGAGAGAAAGTTACAATAACACATTTACTAAAAGTAAAACTAACCTCTATATATTTTTCCGTATCTTTCGTAGGTTCCCAAAATCATTTCGGTTAGTTTTAACAAAAGTCTAGTTTTTGTTTTTATTTTCTTTAACTAAAAGGTGATTTTCACATCTACTTTTAGTTTACTATGATAACCCTGACCTCTTGGAGACACTGTAGAAACACCCCCAGAGTACAAGTGTTCACTTCCTTAAAGGACAGTCAATGTATCTACAGAAAGTAAAACTCAAAAACATACCTACCGTTTAATAAAACCTGAGCTATTACTTTTTAATGACATTACAGACTTGTAATTTGGTTGTATACACGACCATGAGCAAAGGAAGGAGTCTGTGAAGTTAAATGTACTACATGGTGCCTCAGGTGACCGGACTCATTTCGGGACAGGAGTTTTTAAAGGGTTTAGCGTTTTTGGGAATGCATTACGTCAATGATGTGCTGTTAAAAATACTGCTGTCCTTTAATAGGCTTGAATAATTGCATTAAATAACGTGCTCTGAAAGTAAGAAGCCTAAAAGTTGTAATGTAAACAAAGCTCAGTCGAGCGGAATGATATCTTGGCCCTTGCCCCACCAAACTGGGTCAATTAGCGAGCCAGCCCCCCCTCAACTTCTAGCTGCAAAGCTAATAGCCGAGAAAATTAGCTACACTGCTGTGTAAAAGTCAACGCAGGCTTCTTAAGCGATTCTTTAAAGGCAGCAAATAACGCCGTTTTGCTTAGAAGAGATTGCAATCAGTGTTGTACTATCGTATTAGCTCAGGGTCTGACTCGCAGTGATAATGTCGGTGCGGTGCCTCGCCCAGAGTCGGCTAATTTCTTTTATTAGCCAATATTAGCTCATCAAATTAGCATGCTAGCTAACGTGACAGATGGGGACAGTGAATCCAAGCGCAGCGTCATACACACACACACACACACACACACACACATTCACACTGAAATGTATACACACACACACACATAACCCATACAGATGCATGCACCCACACTCAGCGAGAGTGGGTGTCGTTAGCTTACGAGTCGCGGTTCACAGTGAAATGATTAGCTGTCAGGCTAAAGCTGCCAAATATCCCAAACGGACACACACCCGTTACACGCTGACGCGAGGGACTCTCTTCGCTATCTTCTATCTTTAATGTTATTGTGATGCCTTCGCTTCAATCCGCTTTCCTCAGCTGTCATTTCCAACAGGTCCTGGGCACCACCTTTCCCCTGGCAACACCGTCCCAGAAATCATGGTCCTACTCAGAGGATCCAGGGATTAGCGGTGTATGTGGAGAGCACGCCCCGCGTTACAAAACTACAAACGGATTTGTGAGGTCAGGTTTATGATTAAAATGTGCCTCGCAAAGAAGATAAAGGCAAGAGCTGAAGGTTTGATAGGAGGATTGCACAGCTGGTGTTTTGGAAGGCTCCAAGTCCATCAGAGCAGTGGTGCACAGTGATCCAGCTATCTGCTGGATGCTGGAAAGAAATAAGAAATACTCATCCTGTATGATAAAAATGTCACCTTTAATTTTGAGGTGGGTTATGTAAACTGGATCCTCGCGGCATTAGCAATGTCACTCGTTGGCTCATTTAAAGATGATGGGGATCAGACACAAATATACTGGATAGTATTAATATATTCCCTGTATTTATCTGTTGTATCACATCCATTTTTGTGCTGGTTAAATGCTCCAAAATCTGTGATGAAAACCTGAAAGACAACTAGGGTTGTGGTGGAGATTGAGCCAATCCCTGCTGTCAAAGAGTCGCCAACAGTTACACTCAGGACAGCGCTAACACAGAGAGACAACCATTCAAACACCTATGGCCAATTTGGAGTCACCAGTTAACCTAACATGCATGCTATTAGGCTGTGGGAGGAAGCTGTGGTTGGATGCATTTTCTGCCTCTTCTATAGTTCCAGTTTGCATGGGCAGCAGTCTAAGCAAAGATACCCAGACCCCCCTTCTTTTCACCAATTGACTCCAGCTCTTTTACAGAAATGCAGAGCTGAGAGACATAATCTCCCCCAGCGTGTCCTAGAATCTGCCGACCGATCGGACACCCTCAACGCACCTCGTCTCTGAGGAGTCATCCTAGTCGGTTACCCAAACCTTCACAGCAGACTAAATTTAGTGCAGCGGCTCTACTCCGAGTCCACCTGTTATCTCTAAACATGACCCCAGAAGACAACATTTGGAGCAAGCTTGTTTTTGCTCCTTGGATCTGAGATGTTCTGTTAGTCCTGTCCCAAAGTAGGAAAAAAGGAAAGTAATCAGAAACCTTGAACGGAGCCAGGCCTGGGGAAGGAGGTCATAAGCAAGCTGCCCAGAATAAGCCTGATGGGTCCTGAGCAGTAGGAGGCTTTGTGGTTAATGTGTCGGTTAAGAACAAAAAGCTTAGCATGTTATGCGTAACTCTTAAAGGTACCAACTTTCTGCTGCAAAGCTGAGACCTAGGTAGACAGTCTCAGCTGTGCTGCAAGACCCTGTAATAAAGTTTCTTTAAGTTTGTCATCTTTCCTGTGAAATATTGTGTAACCTCACAAGGAGATACAGTCAGAAATCTTTAGCATCCTCATCCAACAAACTCCAATCCTCTATCCAGATCGTGTCGTCTCAGGTCAGATTTGAGATAATCGTGATGACATCCTTGTGGTTTTTATTCTATTTTTTTTTTTTT